ATTGACTATTGTATATCCTATGTGATTATTTCAGTAAATTTATCTGGTAAATTCCAGCAATACTGAAGTTAAAAGTGTGGCGCAAATTACATATTCCTTTTCGTTTTCTGTCGTGGCGCAAATTACCAAAATTAATTTGTATATGTGGCGCAAAATACATGTTATGTTTTTATATTTTGGCGCAAATTACATACGTCCTTAAATGTACCTTTTGATGGCGCAAATTACAGGTAATTAAAATGGCGCAAAATACCATCTCCCTATAAAACCTACCAAATACATTACTTGGAATGGTCTTACCCGGAATTCGACTGTAGTTTGTTTAGGATATTTTCATTATTAAAAAATATCATGTCTTTGAATAATTCATATTTTAATTAATTATTTTTAATGTTTTTCAACAGATGTTCAGCGTTTATGAAACAAATTTAAATATGTTACTGAAACTATTAGTTTTTAGTTACCCAAATATTAAGTACTTTATCAATTTATTGGTGCTTTTTAGTTTTTTTTTAAAATTTATTTCTGTGTAACGTGTCGATATTGTTAGATAACTAGTTAATATGATTATTTTAGGTGCAAAAATATAATAAAATTTTATATCGATTTGCTTTCATTAATTTTAATTACATAATAACGTTTCGTGTCTTAATAATATTGCTACACAAATAAGTAATACAAATCTTAAGTTTGTTTTCGTCTTTATTTAAAGATTATTGCGTTTAATCACTGAATCATTTTTAGTTGATCTGTGATACATTTAAACAAAAAAATTTTAATTTTTTAATATGAAAATTGATATTTTATTTTTGATTTATGTATTATATTTTAGAATCTTTCAATATATTACTACATATATTGTAAATTTGATAGTAGTTATATTTTTATTATATTAATAATTTAAAAAAAAAAAATGTATTTAATAAGTGATAATATATATTAAATTAAATTAAAGATAATTTAGTTATAACATAACCACGAGGTTTGTGTGCTGATGTTACTCGTTGCAGTAAGCGCTATATGCAGTTTCATTTAATAGAAATACGTTTTGTGAGTCTGCAATCGAGGACGTAGACCTCTCTTCTTTTTTTTTTTTTTTTTTTTGTTATACAGGGCTCCTCTGAAGGTATTGAGTTTCACATAGATATTTATGAATCTGATTTTAATCCAGTTTTGTAGAAGAAGCATTTTTGTGTCATTGTGGATTTACCTAATCCTAAATTTTTCATAATCCGTGAAGCGTAACAATTACTGATTCTTGGTAATGTAGGTAATTAAAATTAAAATCTTAAGTAATATTTAATATTTTTAAATCTTATTTTTTTTTTTTTAACAATATAATAGTGGTAAAAGCTTAATAGTCATAGGTTAATTAATAGTGAATATCAGTTAAGAAATATTACACTAAGCTTTATACTAATTATACTAATATGAATAAGTTTATAAACTAAAAATTAAAACACAATTTGTATCATTATAAATACTTTACTTGAATACAATGAAATAAAGATGATCGATGAACGATCTGAAGATTGTATTACCTAGGTATCATACGTACATATCTTTTACTATATTTTATTTTGTACTGTATAATACGCAATACATTTTGCTAATATGTACTCATATTTACGTATTATGTGTCTATTATACCTGTACTATATAAAAATATATTGTTTATAGTTTAATATTTAATAATTGAATATTTACTTTCGATAATAAATTATACTTGTAAAATCTTTATGTTTTCATCATTATTTTTTAATAACGTTTGTTGTATTGTATTGTTTTATAATTAAATAATTTAAATTAGTTAATAATTTAATAATGTTTAAATAATAATTGTAATGTAATTTTATATATTACACTTATTAGAGTTATGATTTAAAATATTATATAGTTTGAAAATTAATGTAGATATTTTTTTTAAAGAATAAAGTTATTTAAATAGATTCATTGTTTGCTATTTGAATATTTGATGTACATCGCATACTTCAAAAGTATTATTTAGAGTAAAATTTTTGACTTAAAGTAGCTTATAATTATAGACACTACCAACTTGCTATATTGCTACCTACACTATCAAGGTATACTTATTTTTTATCGATTTTATGCCTAGAAATTTAATTTTAGCAAAGAAATTTTTTTTTTTTAGGAAGGTGAGCTCGAAAGACATTTTGTATTGAAATAAATGTATAAGTTAATTAGTGAGAATATTTTTTGCAGTCATGTGTAATTCAAATTGGCTATCGAGAAAACAATATGTTAGAATGGTACATAATAATAAATAGTGTAGGTAGTTTAAAATACGAATATTATTGACACCAAGACGTAAGAATCGTAAGATGTAAACACGGTATACTTTTTAGTTTTTAGATATTATTTTTTATGTATTTTTAGTATTTTATGGATATGTAATTTCTGATTGAATTCGATTATTATGTTTAATTCTCGAAATTCGTTTATTTGGCAGTTTTTTGTAGATACTAGCGATGCTGTCAAATATTTATTAATAATTTTGTTTGGCCGATATTTATTCTAGTAGTTGGATTATAAATTGTCCGTTGTTATACAACAATCTTGCATTATCTATGTTGAATAAATATTTATTATATAATTATTATATTGGGTATAACTTCTCATATAATAAAATTATATTTGCTGTGGATACGCATACAAAATAGGTACCTAACATTTTTTTTTTATCATTTAAGTATCTTGAGGATTGCTTATTGAATAATTATTAACGATTAATATTTATATTAAGTAAATAATATTGTTATCTAAGTTATTTTTAAATTGCATAATTTATAACTATATGTAGCGGATATTTTTGCACAATACTTATTTGTACTGAATAATATAGTAATATTTCTTCGAGACATATTTGACAACATTTTAACAAAAACGCCTGGGGATGTCTCAGTGAAATTTAGATGCATTGATAGCTTATTGTTAAAAAACAATGTTTACGATATAATTTTAATCCTCGTGATTTCTTGATAAAACAAAATACAATCAAGTATTAACAAGTATATAATATAATAGTATTATATTGTTATAATATCGAAAACACAGATCCATCCATAATACTATTATTGTAACAAAATGCCATTCGTATGTTTAAGTAAAATAACATGGCAGATTATATAACGTTGGCTCATTTAGGTGTTTATATATATATATTTAATGATAATAATAAAAATACGCATGGCCAAGTAGTCTGAAAACAGTAATTGTAACTCTTTAACACGTCGGAAAAATCAATTAGCACATACATGTGACAACGTTGGCTCACTGCGGCAGTATAATAATTATTGTGCACATACACGATAATTTTATTGTCACCGTGCATATTATAATAATTAACTTGTATTAAAGTATTGTATTATCGCATGATAGGAGTGGATCGATTGTATATAATACATTCGTTTTATTGTCGGGATTGTTTTTCACGCCGGAATCCCTTTGCAGAGGCGGTTTGAGATTTGAGAACAACTACAACGACAACAAAAAAATCAGCCGACACGATACTATATATCTTGTTTTTTTTTATTATTATTTAGTTGGCGTGTGCGGCGGTATAACGGAAAACGTTTCGGTCGTCGAACGAGGCAGATAATATCGTGAGCGAGATTTTTTTTCTACAGCAGTTTTTCGTCTATTCTACGCTTCGTTTGACGCACGAGCGTGCCAATTATTGTACTACGGTGAATACGTACATTATAATATTGTTATAACTATAAGTCATAACATTGTAAAATCGGTCGCACCACTCGGGTGCAAAAAAAAAAAAAAATCAAAAATCTCGTATACCGCGATGCGCTTCGGCCGTTCGGACGAGTTTACTCGTAGGGGTTCGCGAGCGAGTGGGGGGATGCGATGCGGCGCGCGTTACGTGTCCGGACAACCCCCACGACCCGCGAGACTCGCGCACGTCGCACGCGCAATCGCCGTAATTCGTGACCAAATACCACAATACTACTACCGATGTCGTCGTCGTCGTCATCGTCATCATCATCATCATCATCATCGTCGTCGTCGTATTTGGGCACCACCATTGGTATATCGTGTACCTACGCGATACACGACGGTGTCGGCGTAGTCGCCCGCCGCCCTCCGATCGCGATAGTTTTCTCTCTCGGTCACTCTCTTTTTCTCCGTTTCTCACTCATCACAATCTCTCTCTCTCTCTCTCTCTCTCTCTCTATCTCTATCTATCTCTTACATTCTATCTCCTCTCCATCGCGTCCGTACCGCACATAATACACGCGACGTATTATCGTTGTAAACACGCTCGAACGTATAATACATTATATTGTACATTCGTCTATAATATTATTTTGTGTGTACATTATTTTTATTTCGTTGTATTTATTTATTTTATTTTTTCAATCTATACGATTTAATAATATTATAATACACACAACACACGTCCGTCCGTCTCGCAACGCGCCGCGCGCGCGCCGTTGTGTGTGTATTGTGTGTGCTTGTGTGCGTGTGTGTGCGCATGTGCGTGTGTGTGCGTACCGGTTGCGCCGCCGCCGCCGCATCGCGAGTTCACCGTCAGATCTCATTTCTGTAGCGTACAGTAGAGACGGTATGAGTTCCGTTGCGCGGGCACGTCGTCAACACGTTACCGCCGCCGCCGACACCGCCACCGCCAACGCCGCCGCCGTCACTGTAGCCGTCGAACGTCGTGTAGTCGCGGGCAAATAAGCAGTAGTCGTTCCGCGCAAGGTTCGCGCTCTCTTCGCACACACGACATGCACCCGCTCGCGTTTACGTATCATACAATATATTATATTAATTATTAGCATTAATTATTGTTGTAACCGATATTTTCGTCGTTATAATAATTGTATTTTACGTATTCAAAAAAAAAAAAGAAAAAATTTCGTTATTCGTTTTGTGCCGCTTGTGATTTATTATTATAATTATTTTTATTATTATTATTTTATTTTTTTTTTTTTTTTATTAATATTGTTTAATCGTGAATTTTTTATTTATGTAAATTTATATGGTATATTTTTTGTTTTCGTCTACTTTTTCTTCTCGTTTAAACATTTTTTTTTTCTGACATACCTATCTACTCTTCGCTTATCAATTTCATATGCCATCCCTGCACCACTGTCTGCAACGCGTTTTTTTAAAGTTTTTTTTATTTAAATTCTTACTGTCGTCTTGAGTATTGTTGGTGCCAACATTACAGCCAGCCACTGCAACGACGTACGTACAGGAATAATCGTTTTACTGTCACTTCACCACCGGACACTGTATCGAACAATAACAGCTCTATAGGTGAATATAACATTAAGATTCTTATCAAATGTATAGTAGCTTAAGATACAATCATTGTACACGTATAAGGTTGACTATATTTGATTCCGGATTCGAGTATGTCGACAGATAACACAAAGGCTGTTGCCTGTTGTCCTCGGAGAAACATCCTTTATGTAGGTGCACGTTGTCAACAGAATGTTTACTTTTTCATAGTTTTTCGACTTTTTTTTCTTTTCTTGTCCTATAATGACATTTGTTCTCGTAAAATATACTCTTATAGTATGTGTAGATAGGTAGTACCTCAAAAGAAATTAAGGCTTTTCAAAAACTATATACAATTGTAGGTATATATAGTTCAAATTTTGATCATGTGCGCATGTAGAGTCAAAAAAACTAAAAGCATTTTTTTTTCTTATTATACTATATTTATTTCATTTTCTTATTTATCGCAAATTATGTCTGAGAGGATTTGTATGCGTGTCGTAAAAGCGTCCAAATATTATAACGACTCTTTTCTATTAACATCGTACTTGGTAACCGGACCACGGTTTTTGTAAGGTTTAGCTCTATTGTTATATACTGCATTGTCTGCTAATTTTTCCCTTTATCCCCTCGTTACCATTTAATACGTATTTTGTAAGCTGCATGTATAAAGAGTGTAGATTTAAGACTACTATTAATCGAAACTATTGTGCGATACTGTATTGCTTAAAATAATAGCATTTCGATATAATTTAATATTTTAATGAACGATATTATTTTAATGGCCAGATAAATAATTATTAAGTGCGGCGTGATAAATTAATTGAATGTATTTAAGTTATTGTCGATAAAAAAAAAAAATACATATTTAATTGACTATTTGCTTATTGGTTGATTGAATCTTATTTGCTTAGGTATAATTTTGGCCACAGAATCCCATCGTTAAGTACACTGAAACCATTTTTTTCCCTCTGGCCTTACTTCAGTAATACTTATTATTAATCTCGTATTCAACATTATAGATATTACTGTTTTTTTATACCTCTCCTGTAGCAGTTGCATTACATATAAACCGCACGATTTTACATAATTAATGTCTGATTATAATATGGACTTTCAAATAATATAATATTAACTAAGAAATTTATTCGATAACGACAAACGTCCATACTACACAGCTATATAAGTTATTTTAATTTTTAAATATTATGATGTCGGTAGTGTTGGTGTTAACGTTTTTACAGAAAAGTTAATTGTACAAATAATAAAAATAACAATGATAACAAACAAATTTAAAAAAAAAGATCTAAAACATCTTGGGGCCATCTCTGCAGGACTATTTTCTGTACGGGAAAACAAAAGGGCTATAATTGTTGGCTCGCGCGCCAGTAGGTTCCACGTAGTAGATATTAATATTATGTTATTATTATTATTATTTTTTTGTCTTTTTCGCCTATTGTAATATTATTTGGTTTGACTTTGACACGATACGCTTTCACTGCAGCGATCGCCCATTGATGTTCATTAAAAATGCTGAATGCCTATATAATAATATATGAAATGATTACACTTTATGTATATATACGCTTCAAACACATACTCCAGCTGGTAGCTAATGTGCACGTCATTAATTTATTGATTTCGCCAAAATCTGAAACGATTAGTGTGGCCCAAACATAATCGTTCCACTTCACTTTCTGCAATTAACTGTCGTCTCGCGCGCGCACACACACAAAGGAATACTCAGCGCTCTCGTACACACGCACTTGAACATTTACACGTACGCCTCCCGTGAGTATAGTATAAAATGAATATTGCAGCAGTGACACGTGGTCATATTAACGAACAACGATCACGGTGAAATAAAGAGAAAGACTTCAATGAAAAGCGTATACTTGTCGCTCTCAAGTCTCTGTCCGGTGAACGTGGTTTTTTTGGGTACTTGCAGACGATTTTCATTAGATGTCGTAGGACCGAGGCGTGTCAAGACCAATAGATTTTTATCATTTGTCGATTGCGCGAATAAACTATGATGAATAGACACGGGCGTTATTTCAAGCACCCCGGATCCGGTTGACACACCGGGACAAAGCGCACCCCCAAGAAGCTGTTCGTAATCATTACGACAAAAAAAAAATTGCCTTCTATGACATCATCGTTTGTCTATATAAACGTATTATACTCGTATTATTTGCGCGTTTAATATTACGTGTAACCCTTCGCGTGTGTGGCATTTCGAAGATGATAAAGAATTCTAATGTGAAGAAAGAAAAAAAATGGACTATCGTAATTCCATAATATTATACAGCTGAAGATCGATTTAAATATCAAAACTATAAACCATGGAACAAATCCGTCATGTGCGTCTTATCGTTGCATGTGCAACGTATCAGATGCTCACGACGTTCCGCGCGAAACCGATTGGGAAAAAAAATGAGATTACGGCTTTTCCGGATCCGAACAGTATTACCGCGCGCATGTACAATATGCATAGGTAGGTGCTGTCCGAATAAAGTTGTGTATATTACAGCGCATACAATCTCTCATTCGATGAAATGATGTACTGGGCTGTGGCTATTGCGTATGCGCATATTAGACGGTTTAACAATATTATCATTATTCATTATTATTTCCTTAGCATGTACAGTCGTACATATATACTCGCACACGTGTGTATAATGCACATTATATGGTAGCACGAATCCCGGTGGCACATGCCCATATCTACCGGACACGGTTGAAAATTTAATTGCGTCTGAATTTGAATTATCCGACGCAAGAAACGAGTTTAATTCTACGTTATACCTATCACTACTACATTATGTTGCGGTAATAATATTACAATTATTATTACAATAATTAATTTATTTTCGTACGCGGAAGTCCGTCGAACGCCGTGGCGTTTGTATATTATGTTTATTATACGCGATATAATGAATACCTGGTACTTACCCATATTACAAGTAGCTTATAACATAATATTGTAATATTTTAATATAATATTTTTTTTTATTGTACAGGGCGAGTCATAATTCCGAGTAAATTTATTTTATAAATCATTATATCTGTGCCTACCATTGTTTCGTTCACCAAACTTTTCTACGATTGCGTGTTTAATTGCGGTTTTATCATCATAATATGCTCGTATAATATAATATCACTATATGTAACTGTGTTACATTCACACAGTCATTGGTCGAAATTATAATAATCACTCAAACAATTTGTTCAGCCATTCGTTGTTTCAATCTCTGTTGAAATTAATAAATAAATACTAAATTGCCATTTTTATCTGTTTGGACAATAATTTTATTATTATCAGAGCCAGGTCTACTTCGATTTCTCAGACAAATGTCGTAGAATATACTAGAATATTCTCTAAACTGATTTCGAACTGATACCCAATACGTGTTTACTTACTCGACGAGTTTTCGAGTTTGGACTTAACAAATCTTTAACGAGTTTTGGGTACTCGTTGCAAGCTTGTCTTGGTGCGATTTTACTTTTCTGTATCCTATAGTCTTAAAAAAATAATATTTTGCAACGTTCTATCGGACCTTGGACGTTATTATTTTTTTGTTAGTACATCAATCGATGAAATATGCTTGACTATATTTAAGCGTTACACTCAATCCCAAATCCCCAAATCGTTTTTGTGAAATAGATAATGATTAATTATTTGTTATTCTTAAATTTTACGAGATTTTTAGATTTTTATTTTATGCGTAGTAAAAATCACCATAAAATACAAATAATTATAATGCTTGTACCTATTATAGGGTTCAAAATTTCGAAACCTTGGATTTTTAAACATGTTGACTTGTAATTGACAGTATATATGTATAAGTATAGTTTCATACACATATTGTCCGAGAGGCACAATGTGTTTTTAAAGAATTTTAGAAAATATCTGTTAAATAAATGGTCTATTAACGTGATTAACGTTATGGTTTGTTATTTTTTTTTCATTTTTACTTTTTTATTGTTAAAAGATAAAAAAAAAAACCTTATCGATTATTATATTCTATTGCATGTTATAGAATTATAAAGAAGTGTGTCCGATACATACGTAGTAAACTAAATTATTTACTTGCATTATATAGATGTAAGAATATATTTGGCTTTACCGCTTTAACACAAGAGATGATAAAATTTAGACTAACCCGTTTAGATCTGTCACGTAACATAAAACAACAACCTAAACATATTTTGATTTTAATTTATGAATCCGCGCTCTTCAAAATCATTACAACTGTGTGTGTAGTATATTAGATGTTTAGTTGTATTCAATTATTATTATTTTTGATATCTTCTTAATGTCAAATTATTTGTAATTTAAATTAAAAAAAAAAAAAACACAATGTGATTAAAAATAATTGCCAGACAATTATACTTTCGATTATGGTATAATCATATTAATATTTCATGTGACGTTAAAACACTATAAATACATACAACCAAGTGTAATGAGTATATATTGCTTTTATATTGTCATAAAGAAATAAGAAAATTTACTTTTTGAAACATTAAAATAACTGTTAGTTCAGGCGTTCAGCCACTTTGACCTATAACAATTTACAAAACTATAACTAAGTAGGTACTAACATTTGTAAATGTATATTATTAGTTCTAAAATGACTCTTAAACAAATAGAGTATAAGCATTTAAAAATAATTATAGGTATGTTTATATAATATTATGTACCTACTACTTACCTTAGATACATTTTGTAATTAATTTGATAATTACTAAATTAAAATCAATTAGAAGTCAGAACCATTATTTTCCTGGTATAATTATTATTATAGGTTGTGCATATTTGATGGATGACGATATTTGATGTATTTAGAGTTTTTACTTCTGAATAAAATAGTAATGAATTAACGGTGAGTTATAGGTGTTGACAAGTTTAAATCATAATATTTAAAAAGGTTACACTATGCTAACATTCGATAAATCGGTGCGTTTAGGTGGATTTAGATATCATAACTGTTTAATACATTTCTAAAATAACTCCTGGCTATTTTTAAATTTTT